AGAATATAAAATCTTTGTTCCCCTAGTTTTCTGTTAAGAAGCTCAGCTTCAGAATAACGCCTGTCAGATTGTGGGTACCTATTGAATATGTGTACGAATAAATCTATATAAATAAAGGAGTCAATAAATAAAATAAAAAGGAGGTCTAAAATACAAAAAAAAAAACCTGTGAATGCCACCTTATATGGAAAAACACATATAAAAATCACAACACTGCATACGTAATTATTTAAGGTCTTGATGTTACTCTTAATGAAGACCACGTGGAATTATCTACACAGGCCTTCATGACAATCTCAGGTATCCATAGAAGAAGGAAGAAAGACACCCAGATATGGGGATGGAATGAGAACACTGTGGCAGAGATGACTGACGAGGCCACAGCCAAAGAATGGCCCGCAGTTACCAGAGATAAAAGAAACAAAGGGAAAAAAAGACTCCCCCAGGCAACCCAACCAGCCATATTCCATAATATTTGTTACAGTGATATTAATTTTTGATGTCTGTCCTACAGAATTTCAAGAGAATAAATTTCAGCTGTGTAAGTCAAAAAAATAAAAAATAAAAAAAAGCTAGAAGGCAGTATTCTGACTCACCTGGTCAGGTATCTCTAATGAAAGTCAGGGAGTTAGAGAAAGCATTCCCCAGGACATCCTGGGACGCTGGGTCTTAAGTGCCCCACAGTTTGGAAGGTTGGCATACTTGTATTGCAAACAGAATCCCATATTATAATGCTAAGACCTCTAAATGCTTTCCTGTGCCTGCGAATTCACATATAACTCCTGCTGAGAATGAAGAAGAGTGTAATAGCTCAGCCCTTCCTCAGCACCAGGAAGATGCTTGCACCATCCTCCACAGGACTTTTCCTCTGCCTGCATGCATCCCAGCACCTCTCGGACCAGATTTCTTTAACTTTTAAGCTCATCAGTCAGATCGTGTTGGTACTTACCCAAACATTCTTAGTTTCATATCACTTTTTTAGGCCCTATCTCAAAATACAGTCACATCCAAGCTACCCGGCTTTACAGTATCAGTACACAGGGGCTACAGAAACACAGTCCATCCCATAGCACATGCCACAGATGAAGTACTGGCTTTATAGATACGTAATAACTGTCTATTATAGTATTTACTTTAGTGCACTCTGACTTATTTATTTAATCATCTTTAAAAAGGGAGAAAAAGAAAAAGGAAGAATAAGAAACTGCATGTGCTAAGGAGCTGGATACTATGCAGTGTGCAGAGTGACTTGAGCCTGACAACAACAGATAATGTTACTCACTGAAGAGCATCCAGGCGGAGAGGGCAGAATGGCCATTGTGGCTCTGTGTTATGGACTCACGGTTACTGATGGGAATTTTCCATTTCTAGATGACTGGATCTGTGATGAAGTTTGATGTCCAGCTTGGAACCGAGAAAGACAGTGGTTAAGACATTGTTAGAGGCTTAGATTAACTAGAACAAGTTCAGAGCTGGAACAGCTTATCAGTCCTACCAAACCACAGGGCACTGGATTGAGTTGAGTGGTCCTACATAGCAAAATGTAGTTTCCATCTCCAAAGAGGGTAAAGGAAGAGGAGAATTCCCAGGGAATGAGGGAGGGCTGAAAGCTAAACGGCCAGAAGTTGGCATCAGTGCTAAGGCTCAGCCAGGAGATCTTGTAACTCTTAGCACATGTTTTTTCTTCGCTTTTCCTTGGGCTACACCAACTCTCTCCTTGCAGCTATTGTTGAACACACTATGCACTGCTGCCAAAGGCTTTGCTTTTCATGTAATTTTCCAAGTGCTTTCCCCCGGGCATTTGCATGGTTTGTTCCCTTGTTTTTTTGTCTATTGAGCATTCTATTTCATTGTGACTTCTTAGGAGGCCTTGCGCAAATTGCTTGGTGCCACCTGTGGTTCTTACCTGTGAATTTGTGTCTGGTTGTTATGGCACATATCTGGACCTGACATTGTTGTGTTTGTGATTCCTAGCTTCACAATTAGAATGTACACTGCATGAGAAGAAAGCTCGTCTTGTTCACTGTTGTGTGTCCTTCCCAAGACAATGCCGGCTTCTGGTAAACACTTCCATGTCTTCCATGAATGAACGAGTTAGAAGCAGGCTTACAACCACCTCTGATATTAGCAGACAACCGGAATTTTCATCTTCTTAGTTAGGTCATCTGTGGAATAGAGATAATTTCCACCTCACAGAATTATTCTAGATTATGTGGCAAACTTTTGATAGATGTTAGTTTGCTGATCACATAAGCTTCATTTATTAGAAGTCATCAATCCAGAAGCTTTTACTTGGATTAAGTGCCCTCAGCTTCATTCTATTTTCTAATCGCCTAGAAAACACATTTTAAAAGTATTATCCTTGCCTGAAATCAAGATTTAATTGGCCTTGTGAATAATTTGCACACTGGTTATTTTTAAAGTTCCCCAGGTTGGGCTAAGATACAGCAGCCCCAAAGAGTTCTGATTCCAACAGTCAGTGTGAGCAAACAGGAAGGATGGCTGTGTGAACATCACACTCTCCTGGCAGCCTTATAAATCCTGGTCCTTCCCGTGCTTGGAAACTTCTAGAAGCCAGTGGGGTTTATTTCCCCAGTGCAAATCTTCCACTGGCTGACTAGACAGATGTTTCTCATTTGCCCTTCCTGCTGTGTTAGGAAGAAGAAAAAGAGATCTCCAGCACAGGTCTTTTAAACAATGTTTACATATGCAAGTGATTACCTTTGTATACACCATCAGATATGACAAGGAAAAGGGGTAAATTAAATGAAACTAAGCAGACTTTTCATATATTCTCCTAAGGGAACTTTGAAAGGCTCAGACAGCAAGGAATAGCTAGAAAGAGATAAGTCTAGGTTCTAGGTCTTATTCTAAAAAGTGTCATGCATTAACTGATGCTCAGAAAAATGCTTGGTATGCTGTATGGTAAATCTTTTCCTCTGGGGAAATGAGATTTGCCTAATGTTAAACATCTTCCATTGTTGATTATTTTACATACATGATTTTAACTTCATGGTATTACAGCAAGTTCCTGTAATTTCACAGGTGAAAGAACTGGTCCAAAAGTTCACTGTTGGTAGATGAAAAATACAGGGTTAATGGTTAGGTTTGTCTGACCGTTAGTCAACACCCCTGCCTCTGTGCCATACAGGTTTGCTAGAGGCCCTTTAGCTGTCCATTTCTGCTTCAGAGTAAGCTGGGCATTTCTTCTTGCAATAAAGAGCAAATTCTTTTCTTTCACAAATGTGATGCAGTGAACAAATCTCAGTGCAAGTAGGTGTTCATGGGTTCCCAGGATAACTTAAATTCTCAACAGATTAATTCAGATTTGCTTCAAAGGGACTGCTATCACAACCTTCAGTGAGCATCTGTCTTAGTTAGGGTTTCTATTGCTATGAAGAGACACCATGACCACAGCAACTCTTATATAGGAAAACATTTAATTGGGCGGCTTACATTTCAGAGGTTGAGATCACTATCATTGTGGGATACGGTGGCATATAGGCAGACATGGTGCTGGAGAAGAAGCTAAGAATTCTACAACTTTTTTAATTTTAATTCTACATCTTGATCCACAGGCAACAGAAAGTGAACTGAGACACCAGGTGTGGCCTGTGCATATATAAGACCACACAGTGACACACTTCCTCCAACAAGACCATACCTACTCCAGTCAAGCCACACCTCCTAATAGTGCCACTTCCTATGAGCTTAGGTGGGCCAATTACATTCAAACAGCCACAGTATCAGTTGAAGTTTATTCTTTGGTATCTGGGTAGGTTATGAGAGATAAAGAACTACAGAGACACATCCATGTTCTCAGAGCATTGGAGAAGGAATCGGAGAAGAGCTACCCACTTACTGGCTCTATTTTCCAAACTTGATATAATAGTGCATTGTCATTCATATAGGAGCAAGCTCGGAGGGCCATTCTCTGCTGGGTCCTGAAGCTTCAGGTGAATATGAAATTGCATTTTCTTCTTTATCAACAAACTGAAGAAGAACTGGGGAGATGACTTAATTTGTAAAGTGCTTGCTCTACAAACTGGAGCACCTGAGTTTGGTTACCAACACCTATGTAAAAAAAAAAAAAAAAAAAAAAAAAAAAAAAAAAAAGCAGGTCCAGCTGGGCATGGAATGGCTATAACCACAGAGCTGGGAATGCAGAGACAAGAAGGACTGTGGCAGTCAGTCTAGCTAAATGGTAAGTTCTAGATTCTAGGAGAGACCCTGCCTCAAAAATATAAGATGGTATAAGTTGAAGAGTGACTGAGGAAGATGCCTCTGGCCACTACACAAACATGTACTCGTGTTCATAGTGCATCAATACATATGCACACACACAAACATGTATACCCACATTTACTATGCATATGTGAACACCAACATACAAAAAGTAATTGAAAAACATAATTCATATTGATCCAGGAATTCAATGCTAATAGAGTATTACGAAGGTGATTTTTGGCCTGTTGTGGAAATTTAGGAAACATTCCTCATTCTTTTTAACACTTATTGAATACTTGCTATGTTCTAGCTAATCCCATTTAATACTAGCAGTTACCCAAGGTGTATTCCTTCCTCTGACACAGACGCACAGAGAAGTGGAATAGGTTGTTCAAGGTCATAGATATCATAAGGAAAATATCTAGGATTTAAATCCAAGACTTTCACCTCAGAACTGACATTCTTGCCCACTGTGTTACATTGTCCCCTTCCAACTTTGCTTATTTTGGCTCCTTTTTATTAAAAATAATGAGACCCAACTGAGAACTAATGTATGTTTGTTAGTGACCTATCAAATATCACTCAGCACTCTGGGATAGTCACAGGGATTGAGAATCAGTAAAATCCTCCCTAGGCTAGGGAGGATTGAGCAGAAGGTTGGTTGTTCTGCAACTAAAGCAAACTGACCTTATTCATGAAGGCAGCAGCCAACATCCTGGGAATGGGATGTGTACACACAGATGATGGGAAAGGGAGTGCAGAGCTTATGTTCTAAAGGACAGAGTCACAGGAAGAGACTGTCAGTCTCATTAAGCTGCATAGGATTTTCTGGTTCAGGTCCTTCTACAGGTTGTACTCAGCTGGTCCACAACTTTGCTTCACGGGCGCCATCACAGTGCCTTTGTCCAAATGACTCCTGCTCATTCCTCCAGTCATCAGTTTGCCTCACTTCCTCCAAGAATAATCCCTCCCCGCGGCTTCTACTGCTTCTAAATAAACTGAAATGTTTTCCTATGTCCATATATTTCCTTTCTGTGGTATGTATAATAATTGTGCTTGAATAGTTTGTCTGAGAAACTATGTGGAAATTCACAGGTAGAAAACTTGCCTTTTTATCCACTAAGGGTCTCCCTGTTGCCTAGCACAATGCAAACCACCCAACAGAACCACAGAGCTGCATTTCCTCATATGTATGTATATGTTAAATGTGCATGCCAAATTCAACCCTCCTCTTTCTCTTTGTTTTTCTTGTTAGGAAAAAATGAAAGGAAAACCCCAGGGGCCTTGGTCGAAGTCCCTGAGAGACCCCAAAGCAAAACTGAACATGTGGTATGCATCTGGGCATGTGGGGCTCTTGGGAGGGCCTTGGTGAACCCTGACTGCATCCTCCCACCTCTTGCTAGGCTGGAAGCCCACCCTCCCCTATGGGTTCTTTATTCCCACCCTACACCTTGCTGTCAGACTCTCTTTAGGACCTGCCTCACATGGAAAGGAGACAAATTAACTCCTTAAATATGATATGTTTAGTTCCCATCCTGGTTAGTATGTGGAAGACTCTTGCCCTTGCTCAGTGATGGAGTTGTCATGTGCCCCAAGCAATTGTTTTTGTTGCATATGTACAGGTGAGCTTCCAAACCTTATGGCTACCAGTTGTCATCAGTCTAAAGGGTGGCCAGAAGACCATTTTAATAGCTTAACGCCGGCTTCCAGAACCTGAGAGTGTCCTTTCCCTAAGGGATCACTTCTTAAAATTTAAGAATTTCTCTAATTTTAAAAGAAAAAAAGAAAAACAAAAAATAAGAAAACAACTATCTAGCAAATGGTTGAAAATCCACCTTAATATTCTCAGCAGTTAGCGAGAAAATTTTGAAGAATTGAAAAGCAGCATGGGCTTTTCAATTGTTGCTGTTTTGAAATGTCCAGATTAGAACATGATTTGTCTTAAAGTGATGGGAGGCCTCTTCATGCACTTCACACATGGAAATATTTTAGAAAACAGTATCCATTTTGGCAAGCATCTTGCCATGCAAAAAACAACCACAAATGCTTTTTCCTTGAGTGTTAAATCTGTTGTGAATAAGATTATAAAAAATACATTTTGCTCTTTTATTTTGCCTCCTGTTGAAGGGGCTTTTTTTGCTTTTCCATAATAATTGACTTTTCTCACATCCTTGTATAATCAGTCTTCATTGTCCCACATTTTTAAAAAGGATGCGAAGAAGGGGATTGATAAAACAGCTTTCCTATGATACCAGAGAAAATAATTCATCCCATATGTCTATTCATTGATTCATTCATTGACATACTTACCCAACAAGCACGTATTAAAAACTTTTGTTAGGCAGTACCCAGATTTTTGAGATTTTTCAGTAACTATCTCATATGACCTTGATGATACATCAATAACTACCTCTAGGGCAATAGATACTTAGACAAATATAATATTGAATTGTGAGCGCCTGGACAGGCAAACGGGTGACGAAGAATAAACTCTTGCTCATCCTGGTCTACAAAGGAACTCAGTACAAGAAATAGGATTTGAGATGGGTCTTGCAAGTTTCATAGGAGCTCAATTATTTCAGGTGCGAGCATCAAAAAGGGCTTCTGTAACCAAGGGAATAACATTATAAAGAGATAAAGACAAAAGATATCTTCAGTTGCCAGGCTTTATGTGTCTGGAGAAAAAAAATGCCCATGTAATACTGAAAAGGATAAGCAGAGAAATTTGCAAAAAGAATACTAATGTCCACTGGACCATGCAAGAATTTGGACTTCTCCTGGCACAGAAAAATCATATAAGCTATGTTAGTTACTTGCTCCTTCACTGGGCCTGGTTTGGGTTCACACAGTCTCTACTTCCCCTTGTCTTTAATTATCAGAGAGTAGGGAAATACCCAAAGAAATTAAAAATGAATAAATAAAACTGGACTTTTTGATTAAAAAAATCCATGTATGCAAGTATAGTAAATGAACAGATTTCTCTAAAACTTTTGCCATTTCTCAAGTTGCCCAAATCTCTAAAAAGGCCTAAGAATCACTATTTTATTTTACTGTGTGAAAGTTTTCTTTGTCCCAAAGTTAATTTTATGAAAACAAAATTATTTTATATTCATCCTGAAAATTTACCAGTTTCCTGTCAACTGTGTCAGCGCAATTTCACACAGTGTTCTAGTATTTCAAACAAAAAAATTCTTCGCATTCCCCAGGAGCAACCTCATCCATGTCTGTTAACCAGCTCACAGGCGAACTTGTTACAGCCATTCCTCTCCGGAGTGTGGGGTGCATACCACTTCCAATTGATAAGTTTGACATGGGAAAGAACTGCAAAGCTTCGGCTATTTGAAGGTTAAGGGAACTCAGATGGTACAAATCAGAGGTATTGTTTTATGGTGAACATTTTAGACTGTGATGAACAGAACAAACTCTATATCTTAATTAACTGAAAAAAAACAAACCAGAAAATTGTACTGTGTTAAATATGGACAGAAGTGTAACATGAACTAAACCAAGGAGTCAAACATAAGCAAGCTTTCTTATCTTTACTGTGAGCTTCATGTTCCCTGCCCCCTTTCTGCTGGACAACAGGTGTACTAATTGTTCTGTATTGGATGCCCAGCCTTAGACCATATATGGTGTTTCTTCCTATAACCACATGGACTAGACAGGCAAGAGGTGAGTTTCCCGAAAGCCCGGAGTAGTGCTAATCAGGCCACAGACATTCACAGAAGCTGCCAGGATGTCTTACTTACTTGGCACCACAGGGTCTCATTTGTCTATTTCATCACACTTCTTTGTTCTGTCATAGGCATGAGATTAGGATATTGAAGGGAGCTAGGCATCACTTCTATGCCCTGCTTATCGTTTTGGGTCTAGTATGAGGCCTGCACAATTTTAAAAGTCTCTTGTCCATTCTGAGCTTCTATCTCCTTTGTTAAATTATAGTCAGAGAGAAACTTAGTCATTCTTGAAACTTGGCCCACAGGCCAAAGGACACTATTATTGTGCCAGTCACCCATTCGCCACAAACCACTGCAGAAGTAGTGACTTTTCTCAGAAGCTCAGTCCATGTAGATTCCTCTAGTACCCTTAGAAAAGGACATCAGATCTGTCAATCAGGTCCCAAGTCCTTTGCCTGTTTCAAAGCAGAAAACTGGACAAAAGTGATGATGTCACCTTTCTCAAAGAAAGAAAAACTCACCATGTTTGCATTCAGCAAAAACTTGGCAGAGAGAGCCTTGGGCTGACAAATACATGAGACTCTCCCTTGCTTTCCAAAGGCAGAACTTGCAATAAATCTTTCTACTTGTGTGGCCTCGTCTTTGGCCAACAGTCTGGAGCTCTGGGTACTGAATGTGTGCCAGTGAGATGCTTATGTTGTTTTGGTAGAAAACTCCAGAAGAGAAACTCTGGCCGGAAAACCCTACCACTATGATTTCAGCCTCACAAGAACCAGTGAACTCCTTTAAGAAAAGTCCAGTCTCTCAGCCTGATTTGAGACCAGCCATGATAAAGGAGGCTGAACAACCTGAGCTGTGGATAGACAGGTTCAGAAAGCTGGAAAACACCCTCTACTTATGTGACCTGAGCAACACAGGTAAAGTATGGATTCCAAAGTCCACTAGCCTATCTCTATTTGTGGTCTCACCTACACATAAATGTCTGGCTTATTTCCATTGTATAAGTAAATAGAACATTTTATCTGGAAAACAGGTGCCTGGCACAATCAGAAAACACGAAGATAAATCAAAGAAGAATTACCCATGAGATGACTGAAAATGGCATTGTGTTTCTTATTCCTTACCTCCACTCTTCCACCAGTTTAACACAGGCTTCATTCTCGCCATTTCCCTAAATCCTTCTGCTTTCAAGAGAAACTCCAAACTACTTAGCAAGTTGAAACCTAGTGTCTGCGGGCCTGAGTTGTCTCCTCTACCATTTTTACTCTTAGCATTCCTTGCACAGTCCTTGCCTTTCCCCGGGTATGACTTACTTTCCCATTTGTCCAAGTCCTGTGTCTGCCCAGTCTCCTTCCCAGCAATATTATTTAAACTAGAATCCAATCACTCTTCTCTGAGACTTGAGATGGATCTAGGGCAGACTTCATCTGGCTTTGCCAGCCTCTTGAACATCTACCATCATATTGATATCACGTATATTTTACTTGAAGGTTATTGCTCCTTCACTAGTAGACAGTATTTTTTTTTCTACTGACTGAAACTAGCTTAATTTTTTCAAACAGTTTTTCTTTAGTTTGGAGGAAATAAAAGACTGTATGTCTATAAATAACCAAGTACACCATGCGAGGTGACACAGGCTCTTAGATTGTTCCATGTGGGCATTCAGAGAAAGAAGACTTTTTTTGTGGGAACAGCAAAGGCTTTATTAATGTTAAAATGATCACCAATGGTTTAGTGCAGGCATGCCCTGTAAAAGCACTTATATGAAAATAGCAATGTCTTTAGTCTCTTTGTGTTTTTTCTGTTTTGAATTTCTAATACAATTTTAGATCTCCTGAAATATAATTATATAATATGCCAATTTTTTTTCAATAATTATGTGAAAGGAAGAAAGAAAAAGAAATTTAGAAAGAGCTGAGAACTTTACATACAAGATTAAGCTGACTGAATAATAAAATACGTATTAAAAATCTTCTAATGAGCCAGGCGGTGGTGGCGCACGCCTTTAATCCCAGCACTCAGGAGGCAGAGGCAGGCGGATCTCTGTGAGTTCGAGGCCAGCCTGGTCTAGAAGATCTAGTTCCAGGACAGGAATCAAAAAGCTACAGAGAAACCCTATCTCGAAAATCAAAAAAAAAAAATCTTCTAATGACCCCAGCACTGTGTTAGAGTCTAGACCAGGAAGAAAACCAAAGAGACTGAGTCGCAGCTTCTGTCCTCAAGGACAGAGTTCTAGGTAAGATACAGAGACTTGCAGTAGTTAACAGCATTACAAAGGAAAAGCAAAGAGATAATATATAATAAAGTTTCTTGGTTAAAAGAAGAATTGAGAATTAAGTAGTCCAAAGGAAAGACACCAGGTGCTTGGTTACTATGAGATATGAGGAAGAGTTCTAATATACTACGTGCTTCAAATAATCCAAAAAGAAGGAATTCTGGATAATTCCCTCAATAAGAAGTGATAATATTTGAGATAAATATGCCTACTCTGATTATATTTTACAAAGTTTTATTTTTTAGCAGACCATCATAGGGTACTCCATAAATATATATATCAATTGAAATTGGTAATATAAAAAGGAAAGATACAAGCTATGAAAGGAAGGTTGGCATATAGTATGAGCTAAAGTACCAGAGACAGTACTGGGGCAGGGGGGCATAGCTAGACCTGCAACATGATATAAGGAAAACTTTGGTGATGTTAAGAGGTTACGCTATGTTGAAACCAACTTCTACAAATGTTAGGAGGTGAGCTGACTTGCAACAGGGAAAGGGGATGAACAAGACAGACCTGGAGGTTTCCATTAGGTCCTTAGACACATGGTGACGTTGAGACTCTACCTGAATCCTGGGAGCGAAGATGAAGCCTCCTCCTTTACCAGAATCCATCAAAAGATCAACCAGAGAAGGTCATCAAGAAAGCTGAGCTATATGAGTTAGTGAAGATTTCTCTGGGGCAGAGGGGAGAATAAAAGGTTATTGAAGCAACCCTGCGCAGAGCTATACACTGAGTAGAAAGAAAAGACATTTCTAAATAAAATGTCAAATCATGATAATGGATAATGGATGCCGGATCCTAAACTTAGTTGCTAGGAAACTCCCCAAAGATTTAGACCTTTCTCATAGGAATGAAACAGTCTAAGAAAAAAAAAATGTAGTTTTGCTGACTTTGGGGACAGATGCTGATGGCCGTGAGATGCCTTTTTCATGCCCCCTTCACTGTTTGTGCCTGTTTTCTCCGTTTCTATGAAGTTTGCTAGTTGCTCAAGAGCCAAAGAATGTATCAGCCAGATCTGGGAACATCTACTACTGTCTTTAATGGGAAAGCGGATTAACTAAGGTCACGCTGTTGGTTCATTAGCCACAGCATTTCACAGACCCTGGAGGCCTTTTCTAGATGCGGAGCTGACAACACCTGCTCTGCCCACAGATGACTCACTGTTCTTTATTATGTGCAAGGAGCTAAGTAGGCCACCGCATTCCCTATCCAGCATCCAGGCAGGCCATCCATCATCAAATCAGGGTTTCTGGGAACCCACTGAGCTGATTCTCTAATGGGGCTTGTGAAAAAAATAGCCTTGAAGAGAAGAAACAAGGAATGACAAGTATTCTAAAGAAAGAGCAAATGGTATACTAAGAATTCACTTAGTGAACCAAAGGCCAAATAGAAAATAATAAAGTCAAAGAGGCAGAATGCTATAAAAGACATTCTTTCCCCAGGCCTGGATATTTCATGCTTTTCATCTCTAAATTTTCAAATTGGCCAGAAGCTGAAGGGTTAGTGCCCTTCTTTCCAGGGGAAGAACTCAAGCTCAAAGTGATAACGCAGTGGCCAGTGGGAATCTAATTCATAATTCAAACCTAGGTCTTCTCAATGTTCTACTACAGCTAGTTCTCAAGACATACTAGAAGAAGAATGAGGTGTTGCTTATTTTGGATCCAGAGATATAGATTCTAGCCTAGACTCTACCAGGCAATGTTCCCCACCATTAAGACTGTTCAGATCCCCCTGCCCAGGGATGGTGCCACTCACAATGAGGTGGATCTTCCTACTTCAATTAACAATTCAGAAAATCCCAAAGGCATGACTGTGTGCTAACTTGATTTAGGTAATTCTTAACCAAGACTCTTCTAAGGTGATCCTAGGTTTGTCAAGTGGAAAGTCAAAATTTACCAGGACATGAGGAGTACACCTTTAATCCTTAAACATATTGGAAAGCTTTTGTTTTGTGGTGGTGGTGGGGGACTTTATGGCATAGATTTCACAGTTCAAAGAACACAAGTAGTAGATCATATGACTCATATTGAATATCGTACCTTCATTTCATGCGATATAGTAGTTTACTTTGGGCACCCTTAAGCAAATGATTGAACAACTCTAGGACTCAGTTTCTCCTTTTATGAAATGAGTCATGGTTAAGGTCAAATAAATCAATATTGTAAAATGCTTGGAATGGAGTTTGAGGCATGGGCTATTTTGTGGGAAAATAGTCATTGTTGTATTTATTGTTCCACTTCAGTTAATCATAGCTTATCTTCCTCATGGTTTGGAAAGCTTCCCCAGGCAACAGAATTATTTCCCTGCATCTTAAGTGCAGCAACCAACATATCTAAGCTTCCATTTCGAGCTTATGAATCAGTTCGTGATCATCAGTAATACTGTGGCCTGCACTTACAGTCCTCTCTGTGGCTATCACCCAACCTTCAGGCAGAAAGCATGCTAATGTTGTCATCATTGAGTTCTATCACACAGGTTAGTGGGAGAGAGACACAGGGAATGTGTGTCAAGAAGGAGCACTTTAATGCCTACATATTTCAGAATATCCACAGAAAAAGAAATCATATATTTATGAACACTTTTAACAGGCACCCCACTTCTGTGAAAATTTGCCCTAAGATGTATGGATTTAAAGAATGAGCTTGAATTCTTTAGAACATATGTGTGGTGTTACTGGACCCATCTGCTTTATTCTACCCTGAAGTCACTCCCTAAGATCTATAAGTCATATCCAAGACTCTAAATGTCTTAGGCTAATTTAAAGAATCTTTTTAAATCAATTTTTATTGAGCTCTATATTTTCTCTGCTCCCTTCCCTGCTTCTCCCTTCCCCTTCAACTTTTTCTCAAGGTCCTCATGCTCCCAATGCACTCAGGAGATCTTAAAGTCTTAAAACATTAGTGTTTAACATCTACCTATAACTCATTCAAGCTAACCTATATCTTTCCTTGATTCTTCCTTCCTCATTAAAAAAAAAAATAATCTACCAATGTCATCACAGGAGTTCTGGAAAAGGAAAGAGCCAGACGCCTCATCCACAACTACAATCTCATTTACAACTTGTCCCTGAGTCCTCAGAGAATTGACCTGGCCTTGCGGAGATTCCGTTCTGGAGAAAACATAATCTTAGAACCAGCACTGCGGTACTTGAAGGAGCTGTAAAAACAAGCATGCACTCTGAGACCAGATGTTTCTTTCATCTTCCCATTACCTGAACTTGTGCTTTTCCTCAGTCTGCATGCTGGGATAGAGGCTCTGTCTGAGATGAGACAGATATAGTTGTTCTACCTACGTTTGCCTTGGATTTGGATATTAGGAGGAGCTGTTCACATGATCAGAGAAATCTGGTTTTCTCTTCTGATCTAACAAGAGTCCAATCACTTAACTTGCTCTTCTGTTCTTATAGAGCTTATTATCGATGTGTTTGATGCTTTTTTCTACATTGCTAACTGCTTTTGTAAACAACATGAGTTCATGTGTCAAAAAGCATGCAAGATGGTGTTAACTCACCAGAATATCTAATGAAGAGTCAACTAAATAAATATTTTTGTTGGGTGTTTGGAGACAGGGTCTAAATATATAGTCCAGACTGGCCTTCAACCTATAGTCTTACTGTCTGAGATTCCTTTGGGCTCCAAT